CCAGGAATGTTCATCATCAAGTTAAGGGTTTAGGCACACAGCACAGAGGGGCTGGCGAGGTCCACGCTGAGGAGCCATGGACTGTGGCCACTTACTATTATCAGCTTTCTGACGATCTGAGAGCCACTTCCACCCGAGCTGCTGTGTGCAGGTTTCTGAAAATGAAACGTGTCCAAGAGTGAAGAGAAAAAACAATCCCTGGGGCTCGCAACAGTTAAGAAGGTAAGGATTTTATAAAATCCACAGAACTTCTGATACGGATGAGGTGAGGCAGACAAGGGTTAATGCTGTCAGGAAGCGAGATTTAAATGAGTATCTTATTTAGCACTTTTACTTCATGTGTATGAGTGTATGCCTGCCAGCAGAGGACAGAAGAGGGCGTCGGATTCCCCTGGAACTGGAGTTATGGGTGGCTCTCAGCCACCATGTGGATACTGGGAATTGAACCAAGGTCCTCTGTAAGAGCAGCCAGTGCTCTTAACCACTGAGCCATCCCTCCAGCCCCAGAAGTAAAAATTTTTAAAAGACCTTTTTGAGAGTTAATAAAGGAGGTCCTTGCACAAACATAAAGAAAACTTGTAAGCTTTCTTTTGTGCTTTCTAGTCATAAACCTGTGTCTTCCAGGGCTGGAGAGATGGCTCAGGGTTGTAAAGACACTTGCTGCTAACCCTAATGAGTGGAGTTTGAGCCCCTGGACCCATAAGGTGAAAAAAGAAAACCAGGTCCCACAAGTTGTCCTCTGACCTCACACACACACTGTGGTGTGGCACACCTCCCCCCTCAACATGCACACGATAAATAAACGCAACAAAGAAATCCAAACAACAACAACAAACCCCTGTATCTTCCAAAGCATGAGGTTAGGGTGACATGAGCCTGGTTTCTGCTACACTCTGTGATCCGTTACCTCGACAACGTGTGGGCGCACAGGTTTCCGTTCCTTCTTACTCCGACCAACGTTTCTAAGGAAGTTTCCCACATCTTTTTCTGCCTGAGACATCTGCTGTGGGGTAGCATTCACCGAGCATCTGCTTAAAAGAATCCTATGCATGTCAAACCATCATTACGGACAAACTGCCATTTAACTAATTTACTCCATCTTTGTATAAATGACGCAGAAATGAGAAGAGACTAACATCATTCTTGTTACAAAATAATCAAAAAATGTTCAAAAGAAACAGTATCTGGATGTGGAAATCATGCGGCCATCTTATGTCTCTAGAGCACTGCCCAATTATCAAAGCCATCAATGTGACACACACACTTCAGTATGTCATAGTTGTTAACACCAAGATTTTCTGAAGGGTGTAGATCAGACAGAGAAGGCTCAGATCTGCCAATAATGACACTGAAGGCTGAAAAGAAATCAATTTCAAACTATAAACCTGTTACTAAAGTAGAGAGGAAAAAAAAGTTTGTGTGTGTCTGCATGTAGGTGTCTGCACACGCATGTGGGTGCCTGAGGAGAGGTGATGACACTGGATCCCCAGGAGCTGGAGTGCAAGCAGCTGTCAGCTGTCTAGTGTGGGTGCAGTGAACCAAATTCCCGTCCTCTGCAGGCAGCAGGTGCTCTTAACTGATGAACCACCTCTCCAGCCCATGAAATTTGACTTCTACAGTATACTAGCTATGTGTAACATTTTTTACCCTTCCAGTGTTCAATCTTAAAGTAGAAAAACTTAAGATCTCAAAAAATTACCATGGTCTCAAAACATCCTGTTATAAAACACTTCCAAATTCTAGAGAATCACAAATATTCTCTATCACATAAAATTGACTGCTACGGTATATTGGCAGCGTGCAACACTTTTTACCCTTCCAGTGTCCAATCTTAAATTAAATTCACAGCAGTTACCACTGAATTAATACCAATTTTATATAGACTCTATGTTAATTGCTTGGTATATATTATTCCTTCTAAGAAACTTGCAAAGTCAGGTTTTATGGGAAGGAAGCAGAAAGTCAGAGTGGTGAAGTTTTCCCAGCTGGCCTGAGGTGGAGAGTGAGTGCTGAGCCAGGCTGGCCTGGGGTGTGAGCGTGAATAATGGCCTAAAGCCTGGGGTACGATGGTGTGCGTCAGGCCAGGAAATGCAAGCCAGGCCCACGTGACACCTAAGGCCAGAGCACTGACCACCAGGCCCCACCCTGCCAGCGACAGTGGCTGCCGTAGCAACTGCCAGTGACTCTCAAGGGCTAACGGGGGGCTGCCACCAGGACTCTATGCACAACAGTGACTTGAATATGCATTTTCCTTTTAAGCACCAGTGAATCCCAAATCCATATCACTGGCAGCAAGACACTGTACATACACTACTAATAATTTTTATTTATGCTCAAGCCTGGGAGCATAAAGCTCACTTTATGCACACCATTGACTGCTTCAAGATAGAATTTTATCTTGACAAGAAACTGGTCTTGAAAAAGCCAACCTTATAATATCATAAGAGCATACATACACATAACTAAAAGTTACTCGACAAACAACAAAGCCAGACAGGCGATACCTTCAGTCGAGTTGTTGG